CACAGTCCTCATCATCGTCATCATCGCCGCCATCGTCGCCGTCTACTTCGCCATCATCAAGCCCGGCCAAACGCCCGCCGCACCCGCCGCTACCAAGCGCGCCGTCGCCGTTCGCGGCCTCGAGTTGCCCGATATTTCCCTCTCAGTGCCGCCTGGCACGGGCGCCACGTCCCTGCACACCTTCAAGACGCCGAGCCGCGTCGTACGCCGTATCGTCCAGCCGGGGGTGGGCTGGGAGCCCAACGCCAACGCGCAAGAAATGTCCGTCGCCGGCCGCTTCGGCCGCAAGGTCGACATGCCCGCCGTCCGACACTAAGACGAGGGGGTGCCATCTCCCTTACGTCCGTTGTTCGAGCCTGTACAAAAGAAATACCCACCATACCTTTTTAAACCACATTTGCCTCAAACCCCATCTAGGGAGGCGTACCTTCAAATCGCGAACACACCCTGTCCTTCCGACTTGATGTCCGGATCGATTTCTCATTGCCGTCACCATTATACGAACCACTCGTCGCCCCTTTTTCTTTATATATAACATAGACGGACGGATCACGGAAGGTATACGTCGTCTCATTTGCTGGTCGGAGGGGGATGGAGCCCCCTAAAAAAAATCGCAAAGAGAAGAATCCTGGGAACCCAGGCCCTGGAGGAAAAGGGAACGGTGGGAAACGGCTCCCGTTGAGGATGTCCCCCCCTTCCTCACTGCCTCACTCCTCCCCCCGTTTACCCGAATTCGGAACTTTATCTACTGTTGACACAAGTATCCTCGCCGATTGCGTGTCCCCCCAACCCCTTCTGTGCGTCTTGGATTCACATCTTCTGAGGAGGAAGATACCGTTGGAGCACTTATATGTGTGTGTGTACGGGGCATCACACGACTTACTCTGCCTGCTGTTGTTTTGTTGTTTTCCGTCTGTTGCATCAGGAAGGGCGTTGGCATGAATGCTCGCAAATATAGTCAGCTTTTTTTTTTTTTTTAACTTGACGCCTTTATTAATTCCCGACGGTGGTCCCAGTTCCCCGATCCCTCATCGCTGTCTTTCGGGTGTGAATGTCTTTTGGGTGCGTGACTTGAATTTTGACGACTGCGTCACGTCGCGGGCGGGTTTATACAGCCTGGGGGGGGGGATGGGGCGACAAATCCGTCAGGACGAAAACTGGATTCAGGCGACGGGAACGGGTTTCCCGTCGTGATCACGATGTCTCTCCGAGGTGCAGGTTGGGGAAAAAAAAAAGCATTTCTTCGGAAATAAGATGCAAAATATGCTTGGAAGATGGGGCAAGTCCAGTCATCTTCCCCGATCCCGCTCTGATATTGCCTTCTTGTCCAGCCTGCGTATGATGGGAGGATGCTTGGCATTAATGGCGGACGATCACGTATTTCATAATACATTAATTAGTTCAGGTCTTTGGCCGAGTCGTATGCGGCAAAATACAATGGCGTCTTCTCTTCCTCCCCTTCCCCCCAAATACATCGTCACTACCACCACCGCCGCCGAGGCTCCTCCTGTGGCCGTGGTGCGGCAGAACCACTCCCCTGCTACCTATCCTCCCCATATCGTCCGCCTGCACCCCCGGCGCGGTATGTCCCCGATGAATACGGGAGACGAGGCCAAGGATGACCAACGCCGAGGAGGCAAGGGCAGTTTAGGGAAGGTTCGTCGTTCCGTTTGCTGAGTGATAGCATGCTCGCCGACCACTGTCGCCAGTGTTTTTTGGAATTCGATATACCCACCCGTCAACAACAAAGCAGAACGGTGTTGGGCTATAGAGCGTGCTGCAAAACTCCTGGTCTTCCCTGAGTAGTAACCCTTTTCGGTGTTGATTGATAGCCACGCCAATAAGCCTTCCCGATAGACAGCATCGTCTGATCCACGCGGCATACGAACAAACAAGTGACCGAGGCTGGGAACAGCATTTTCCGAAAATGTGCGTCTTCATTACCCAAAAGTCCGAAGTCGCTGGTTTCTTCCATCCATCCGTCGGACCGCTCATCTGGACCGACAGTGGGAAGACACCGCTCACTCGTCCACGCCTCAACCCCCCCATGTTGAGCGCCTTCTCGGCGCGCGTTGGGTACATTTCATTTGGGTTTTGGAAACGTAGCCGGCCTCTCTCGGTTTCCCGAAGCATCCAGCAAAACCGCGCATGTGATCCTCCCCAATTACGTGTGTGTGTGTGAGTGTGTGTGTGTGTGTGAGTGTGTGTGTGTGTGTGTGTGTGTGTGTGTGTGTGTGTGTGTGTTGGGCAGTTGAACTTGCCAATGTCATAAACTCGCAAGGTTCAGATTACGTCGGTATACTTTCCCTCGGGCGTCAGGATTGACAAAAGAGTCTGCCAACCCAGCACCCCTATCCCACATGAGCCCCGGGTCTCGTCTCAACAACAACAAAAAGGGGCGCATCTTCTGAAACTTCGGCACGGTCCGCTTCGGGAAGGGGGGAGGGGACAATAGACAAGGTGAGAAAAAGGGTCCGTTTTGAATTTCAGCCGGCCTTCTTGCGTTCATGGTCTCTGTCTGGGAGGCCGCAGGATATGCTGTCGTTGGGTATGACGTCCGAACGCTTGGTCGTAAGAGCTCGCAGGAGGCTTTGCCAATGTAAGCCCGACAAGTCCCTCGAGGGGGGAGGGGGGAGGGGGCAGAACGTCTTTCTGCGCCGCGCGGTGAAAGAAAGACCTTTTGCATGCAAAGATGAGGAGCCTTCCAGACACAACGAACTCCTGGCAGGTCCGGCCTCTAGAGCTCCGGATGCCAACCATCGAGCACATTCCGGAGTGAAGCAAGAGGCTCAGGCTGCTCGGTCGTCTATACTATATTTAGGATTACCTACGCTTAGGTCGGATTATATAGCTGTCATCGTGGTAGCCACAGCATGGCCATATATACGATTAGTTTGCGCAATCTACCGGGAAACGTCCAACGGACCGCTTTGCCTGACACAGAAAGCAGTCCACCCACAACTACCTCTCCTTCATCGTCGAACAGATTGTGACATCATCTGCTATCGTCCTGGGTCACTTGTATATGTTGTTTTGGGAACGGATAAGCCCGGGATTGGACCCTCTAAGTGACTGTCCAGATTCCCTCTGTTTCCTTGTTCTCGGACGTAGAAAAGAACCACGTCGCGGCATTTTGCAGGACCGTCAATAACTTCCCAATGCCTCGATGCCGAGAACACGCAGGCTCCGAGTCTCGAGGACAAGGTTGCCGAGTCCATCTGCGATGAGAAGGATGGTGTGTCTTGGTCGTTCGCAAAGTGCCTTGGTATTTCACCAAGCATTCGTCCAACTCCGTTGAGCAACGGTTGTGTTGGGAGCTTGACAAGGTCTTAGGCGTTGAAGCGATCACACACGGCGTGTCGGGTAGGAATGAGTTGCTCAGTTTCGAGCAGGACTTTTACGTGCGACGCCGTGGAAGGGGGGACAATGCCATGTTCATTTGAAGCCTTGTGTATATGGAAACAAACCGCGAGACCCGTCTACCTATCAAACAGGTCGTTCTGTTTTCCCGACTGAAACAGTGAGAAATATGGTCTATGTAACAGGTCCCCCCCCCTTTCGTGATTCATGAGTCGTTAATCATACATGCCCAGCAGTCCTCTTGCAATCTGGAGAGAGGAAGAGCCGGTCATTCCCCCGTTTCTAACCAAATGTCAGTGGTCATCCCTCAGGATACAGATACGTTGGGGTGTGTGACGGTGTTGTTACCTTTTCCCTGTAATAGCACAAACTTTCGAATCCTCCTTATGTAACAAGCCAAGGAGAGGCATTAGAAACGACAGCTATAAGCCGATTCACATGTCAACAAACGCCGTGTGTCGAGACCCCTCACTCCTCGGTCTCCTTCTTGGGCCCGGCGTCGTCGGACGCGGGCTTCGTCTCGCGGGCCTTCTCGGCCCTGCCCTCGCCGGCCTTGACGACCCGTCGGAGCACGCTCATCTTCCGCTCAAAATCCTCCAAAAGGGGCCCGTACTCCTCGCCGCCCGACCTGGCGACGGCGCTGCTCGAGCTGGGCAGGCTCTCGGCGCGGTCCCTGTCTTTATCGCCGCCGCCGCCGCCGCCCTCGCTCTCGACGCCCTCGATCTTGAGGACCAGCCCGCCCTCCTTCTCGCCCTCCTGCCGGGCGATGCTGGCGTCCGTCACGGCAAAGTCGGCGCTGAGGCTTGCGGCGGAGGCGACCGTCCACTGACCGTCGGCGCCGGGGACGACGTCGAGGAGGACGGCGCGGTCGACGGCGCTCGGTGGCGGGTTCTTGCCGCCGAGGGCGGCGGGCTTGGACGTCGAGGCGGAGGGGGTCGGCGCAGCCTGGTTCGCGGCGTGGTGGGCGGCGAGGGCGGCGGTGAGGGTATCCGGGTCGTCGTCGAGGAAGATGTACTTGACGGTCGGGTGGTGAGTCGAGTTGGTCGTCGCGTTGGAGACGAGGGTGAAGAAGCCAGCGGGGTCGAGTTTGGGGGCGGGTTCGGTTTCGGGTTCGGCCGCGGCTGCGGCTGCGGTATCTGCGTCTGCGTCTGCGTCTGGGGCAGGGTCGGGCACGATGGCGGGCGGGGCGGCGGCGCCCGGCGAGCTACCGCGGGGGGCTTTCTGATGCTGCAGGGACGAGGACAAAGACGCCGTGGCGGGCTGGTCGGCCTCGGGGCGCGGGGACGTCGGGACGTCCGGCATCATCAGGCGGCAGAGTGCCAGAGGGGCCGCGTGTCTCTTGAAGGGGAGCCGTCTCGAGAGAGCAGGAGGAGGAGGAGGTTGGTCAGGGCGAGGGCAGCGAGACGAGACGTTGGTGCTGACGGGATCCCTGGCGTCGCGGTCAGTGGCATCTTTTTCCCGGGGTGAGATGGAAGCTGCAGTTGGGGTCTCGGCGATGGGGTGCAGGGAGGGACGGAAGCTAGAGCTGTTGAGTGTCATAGTGGAGGTGCGGGTTCCAAGCCGCCGGGGACGAGCTTATCGTTATCACCACGTGACTGTGGAGAAAGCATGATCTGGCATGTGATGTTGATGATCTATCCGGGCGGATCTCCGGCTTCGGGGGTCTCGAATCATGATAGACACTGGATAAGTGATTGCCTTCCATATTCAAACTCGGAATATATATATGAGTGGCTTGCGACGCTTATATAAAGTGAGTGTAGGTCTCTTTTGGTTCGCACTCGACTGTTTCCAGAACTAAGCTGTGGTTTCCACGGTTCATGGCCCAAGACCCAGGAAATAAACGAAGCCAACCGAGACGCTGCACTTGTCACCAATAATGTTCACTGTTGGAGTCTCACCAAGGCCGAAAGATGTCTTTATGAATCAAGCCTTTATATCATTCACCTTTTCTCCAAGAGTATGCCTTGGCATGCTTCAGCGCCGGTAACAGGGGAGCGGTCATCCTTTTATTTTCGTACGTCCCGGTGTCAGCGTGGAACCCCTTTTGCCCTTTTACCCATGAATCCTGAGCATCTCATAAACCAATGCGCCAAACGCCACGCAAGCCAGAGGTATCAGAAGGGAGACAGCGGCACATACTAGGCCTCAACGGTCTCATTCGTCTGGTCCGTCCACTCGAATTCTGAAGGCTGTCAACGAGATGCTCCTTGGGCGACATGGGACGAAACTTACTTTGACGGCACATGGGGCACTGGCCCTTTGCCGAGTCCTGCTTGATCCACTCCAGAATGCAATGCTTTGGGGTCGGTCAGAGGACGGTCATGGCGGTTAGGACGAGGCTGCTTACCATATGAAAATTGTGTCCACACTTGCCAGACACTAGCCATTGTCAGTTTGCATATAATGATAATGGTATGGTGTGAAATGACGGAACGTACAGAGGCTGCAATCGTCGCCGGGGTATTTGCAGGTCGGGCATGTGCCATCGAAGTGGACTTGGCAGATACCACAGACGTCGTCCTCGGGGATGTCCCACCGCCACGTCGCGACGGTATTCCAGCGGGTAATCTTGACCTTCATTATAAGTGCTGTTATTGGTGAGTTGCTGCTGTTGCTATTGTTGTGGCTCTGTATGTTTTGTCTTCTCAAAAGGGTCTGGTGTGGCGGGGAGTATGTGCCTTTCTGGCAGTCGGCCTTAATTCATGCTCCCTCAGTTGCTGCTGTGTCTCTTCCTTTTTTTCTCTTTTTTTTCACTTTTTTTTTTTTTTTTCCGCATAAAAGTAATCTCGTTGGGTTGTAGTGGTTTTGCGCCTTTGTTTGTTTAAGTCGGGAAACGCGAGACGTGCAGTTGACTGCGGGGCAGCTAAAAGGCCAGTGCCCCCAAGCCATTCAATTATGTCGAAATAAAAAGATGGCGACATGTGGCCCAAGCTCCTCGCATCGCGCCTACCAAACCAACCGTTCCCACCGCATGTGTGTCGCTCCACAGTGAATGGAGGAGTCACAGACTATCGGTGACTGACCCGGACCCCGACCTCCTCCTCTCTCCTCCTCCTCCTCCTCCTCCTCCTCTTCCCGCTTATCAATGACTGGGAACCAGTGAGCAGCGCCCCCCCTGTTTTGTGTTTCTGGCCAGGCCTGATAACAATACTACCGCTTCTCCAAAAACCCGACCACCACCGGTAACGGCCAAACAAGGAGAAAGACCGTCGGAGAGACAGAGACAAATACCACCACCACCACCACGAGCCAAAGAGAAAGCAGGAAAAGAAAAAGAAAAGAAAACGGTTGTGACGGTAAGCCTCCTTCACAAGCTTCCCCCTCCCTCCACGCCCCAAACCCCGCACACAAACCACCACATGCAATGCCTCTGTCACCTTCCTTAGCCTTCGCCGTGATTTTTTCCATTTCCCTCCACCTTTATCACAGGCCCCCCCCCAGCGTTCTGGGCTTCCGCCCTCTGCTGTTGGCATCACCGACCGACCCGATATCGACCGATACTCCCGCTCGACTCGGCTGGCTCCTTTTCCTGCTGTTCCAACTAACCCGACATCATCCGGTCCAGGGAATAGAAACCAAGACGATATCTGCGTAGCCATTGATCATGGTGACTATTGCCATTCTCCGACCGGCGCGCGCCGCCGCGCAGTCATCGTGGAATGCGCGCTCTTCCTTCAAGGCCGCCGCTGCCGCCGCCTCCTCGCGCCGCTCCTTGTCCTCCTACCTCGTCACTCCCAAGGAGCTCGACGAGGCCCTCAAGAAGAACCCGCCTAAGATCAGCCCCGAGCCGCGCACCATCCCCCTGTGCGCCTCCTGGTTCCTCCCCAACGATGGCCGCACCGGCATCGAGGTCTTCCGCCAACAGCGGATCCCCAAGGCCCGCTTCTTCGACCTTGACAGGGTCATCGACCGCCACAGCGAGTACCCGCACATGCTGCCCTCGCCCAAGGACTTTGCCGCCGCCATGAGCGAGCTGGGCATCCGCAAGGAGGACACCGTCGTCGTCTACGACAGCAAGGAGCTGGGCATCTTCAGCGCCCCGCGTGTCGGCTGGACCCTCAGGATCTTTGGTCACCCCAAGGTCCACGTCCTCAACAACTTCAAGCTCTGGGTCGACGAGGGCCTGCCCACCGAGTCTGGCGAGCTCTACAGCGTCGAGTGCTACACCTACCCGATCCCCAAGATGGACGAGAGCAAGGTTGCCGATTTTCAAGAGGTGCGCGAGATTGCGCTCGACCACAACAAGGAGGGCGCCGAGGGCGTGCAAATCATCGACGCGCGGTCGCCCGGCCGCTTCACCGGCAAGGACCCCGAGCCGAGACCTGGTCTGTCCTCCGGCCACATGCCGGGCTCCATCAACATCCCCTTCAACGCCGTCTTGGACCCCGGGACCAAGGCCTTCTACCCCCCGGACAAGCTGAGGCAGATCTTCCAGGAGAAGGGCGTCGACCCTGAGAAACCCATCATCTCGAGCTGCGGTACCGGCGTGACCGCTTGCGTCATCGAGACCGCTCTCGAGGTGGCTGGATGGGGCTCTCCTGAGAAGCGCAGAGTCTACGATGGAAGCTGGACGTAAGTGCATCCGTCTCCTTGACCTCGTCGTAATTTTCACATGCTAATTTTCATTCTTCTTCCTTGCAGCGAATGGGCGCAGCGGGTGAAGCCGTCCGATTCGCTCATCAGAAAGGACGAGTGACAAACAGATTGAGCGAGAGAGAGAGAGAGCGCGCGCAGCGTCGAGTTGCTTCTAGTTGCGATACCCTCACCACCCCACTTTCTGGTTTCCTCTGGTTTTCATTGTACGATATCCGGCACATTACGGCTTTGGAGTTTGCATTGCGCATCGGGGCACGTCCGTCAGCTTGTTTCTTCATTTAGGGAGGAGGGGGGTGGCCTGGTGTACATAGGCCACGATAATTGAATCATGATAATGGGCATACTGGACAATGAGCACAAGATCAAACCCACAGCACAATCGACGATATCCGATGCGCAAGGCTATGGTATATACTGGTGAAGTGAATCGATGTTGGGCTCATTTTTGGCTACTCAATTGGAGAGAGGGGGGTGTTGACTCAATCTGGGATCAGCACCCAGCGACACACTGTGCTCCTCCTCGGTGTGAATCGGTGAACAAGCCACAACCCCCACAACGGCGGTCCCCCCACCCTTCTTCACCTTGAGTTTCTGCCTCGAAGCTCAGGCCAGTAGGGCTCGCCAAACCCGTCCTGAGCAGCGCGGGAAGGCACAACTGGGCAACTGCGCAAAATTGCCCGGCCCTGAACGGCCACCAACCAGACCCCCGCAAAAAAAGTTGTGAGTGCATCTCGAAATAACTTCCTCCCCTCGAAACACCACCACCACCACCCCCCGACTAACCGGAGCAGCAGTCTTTTCACTCGCGCGCGCGCAACACCCAACCTCCAACAACACACCCTCTCTCCCCCCGACGACACATTATGGCTGACCGTGGTGCAAGCGCCCCCCGTGGCGGCGGTGGTTTCGGATCCCGTGGCGGTGACCGTGGTCGTGGACGCGGCCGTGGTCGTGGTCGCCGCGGCGGCAAGAGCGAGGAGAAGGAGTGGCAGCCCGTCACCAAGCTCGGTCGTCTCGTGAAGGCCGGCAAGATCCAGTCCATGGAGGAGATCTACCTGCACTCCCTGCCCATCAAGGAGTACCAGATCGTCGACTTCTTCCTGCCCAAGCTCAAGGATGAGGTCATGAAGGTGCGCGCACACAATTCTTCCCCCCCTCCGACCGCCGGGGCCGAGATCGATTCCCGCAGACGACGACGAGACAAATCGCCCGTGGAGATGAGATTCTCGGTCTTTGGGTCATGGTTTCGGTTTTGGCTTTGGGATTGTTGTCCCAAACCCCGGTTTTCCGAGAGAAAGAGGGGAATGCTAATTCGTTGTGTCTTATTCCCCAATTGCAGATCAAGCCCGTCCAGAAGCAGACCCGTGCCGGTCAGCGCACGCGCTTCAAGGCCATCGTCCTCATCGGTGACTCCGAGGGCCACGTCGGTCTCGGCATCAAGACCTCCAAGGAAGTCGCTACCGCTATTCGCGCTGCCATCATCATCGCCAAGCTCAGCGTCATCCCCGTCCGTCGCGGATACTGGGGCACCAACCTCGGTCTCCCCCACTCCCTGCCCACCAAGGAGTCTGGCAAGTGCGGTTCCGTCACCGTTCGTGTATGTATACCCCGCAGTCTGGATTTATGTGTGGAACTGGTTGTCTGACGTGTGCCTCTCTGCAGCTCATTCCCGCCCCCCGCGGTACCGGCCTCGTCGCCTCCCCCGCCGTCAAGCGTCTTCTCCAGCTCGCTGGTGTCGAGGATGCCTACACCTCCTCCGCCGGTTCCACCAAGACCCTCGAGAACACCCTCAAGGCCACCTTCGTCGCCGTCTCCAACACCTACGGCTTCCTCACTCCCAACCTGTGGAAGGAGACCAAGCTCATCAGATCCCCGCTCGAGGAGTTCGCCGACACCCTGCGCGAGGGCAAGAAGTACTAGAGCAGCGAGGAACGACGGGGTTTGTGAGGAGATGGCAAGAGAAACTTGTGTCGGCTTCGGGATTTCTTCATGGAGTTGCGTGTGTTACACTGCATCGTTGGTTGGCCAGGGCATGACATTAAGGCTAAGGGCAAACTAGCTCCGGATCTGAAAAAATAAAGATCATTGAATGCAGCCGACGGGTTTTTCAGAAAGAAATATTATGGGCATGAATTTTCACGATACTCCGAGGCGACCCTCACCATGGGCATGGTGACTGACTGACTGTTGGACGACTGACCGATTTTCTAGAGCAACCCGCCGACTTAACCCCGCGTCAACCACCAGGCTCAACGTCTAGTACTTCCGACATGGATTGTGCAACGGGAGTTACTGCTTAGGAAGCAATGGCTATGGAGGAAGTCGGAGGGCTCATGGTGCGTGAATGGTTGGATCGATGTCGTTGGTAGACGTGGGGCAAAGGCGAAACATCGAATAGATGGGTCAAACAGTCCATCCGGGCTGAACAGAGACGGCTAGTGGCCGTGACAGGACAGAGACGAAATAGTACCTCGCTGGCCTCATCCAACCGCCATCCAGCCGAAGGAAAGATGCAAACGCGCAATTCCATTCAGCATCATCCGCTCATGCGCCGTGGTGCTGATCAAGGATCTAATCATCTACCAGGAGGCTTGATAAGCATCCGCTCCTGGCCATGCTTCCTGGTCGAAACGCCACGAGTCAACATTCTCCCAACTTACATGGTAACTTCTCCCATGTGACTGCGTCTCTGGTGCCTCGCGGCTGTCTTCTTGTCCCACGTTCAACTGTACTCGTCGCTCATGGCCCGACGTGAGCAAGGTCCAAGATACCGGGAAGCATCGTAGTCAGCCCTGCTCGCCACAACCGTCCTGGGCAATACGTTCCACAGCATCAATCTCGAACCCTCACCACGCACCAGAAGGTTTTGTTTTCCCCGTCATCAAACGGCATAAGCTCTCGCAAGACCATGTTTGAATGTAATCGTATCTCGAAAAAGGCAAACTCCCCTTATCCAAATATGTCAAAAGACAGAAAGAAATAGAAGAAGAAAAAACCAAAAGGCAACACTAAACACACAACCCCCTTAGGTCCATCACTTCTCCCCTTCCTCGTCCTGGAACCGAACCCTTCTTTGGCCCTCCTGGCCCGGCGGGTATCGGGGCGAGAGCAACGGCCGCCGCCTCTCAGTGAGTCTCGGCCGCGGCGTCGTCGTCGGCCGCGGCAGCCTGTCCAGCAGTGCCCCCTTCTCGGCCGCCACCTGCCCTGTCGCGGATACTGCGGACCCCGCCGGCACGCTCCTCGGCACGAC